GGGGGGGGGGGAGGTCACTTTCTTTCTCCAGCTGCCTTCAGATTTCTGTTCTAGAGAAGTAATAGTTTGGGTTTTTCACTCCTGATAAAAGTTCCCTGTTACTTCAGGTTCCCTAATCTTGGTGTTTTTTGAGAATTTCTTTTCACTGTTATGATTTAAAATGTAATCGGAAGTGGAGCCATGTTAATGATAAGAAATGATTAACCAGCTTCTTTTCCTAAACGCTATTGGGTCATTACAGAGGACGCCCAGCATGCTGGCCCCCAGTGACGACAGCTAAAGGGGCTTCAATGTCCCCGACAGGCTAAAAGCAATCAGTCAGCAGTCACCGGGTGTGTTTTATTCTAAATTCAAGTCCAGTAGCATTTCAAAAGCGCATGGGAATGTGTTTTCTTAAGATTATTCTACTCCAAGTTGGGGGAATGGAGTGGAGCGCAGAATGGCCTCTTCTGAAATGAGACACATCTTCCGTGACTTTTGGTTCTAGCTGCTCTGAGAACACATGTGCACGTGCACATGCTTTCCCATACACGCGTTGCCATACACACACACACACACGCACAGGCTGCTGGGTGTGCGCCCCCGACGCATGTGTGTTTATCCTTTAAGGGTTGCTGCACCGTGGGACTTAAATAGAGCAGCCGGCTGGTCTGGTCGCCATGGTCCCCACCCTGCTCACCCCGTGATGAACTCTTCCAGAGGGGCTGCACTGTCATCCCTGTAACTCCCACTTAGGGAGTCCAGCCCACAGAAAGGTCCCGATCCATAGAGGAGTAGCATGAAGGAGTATCTGGTGTGTACGTCTTCTGCCGCATCTTTGTTATGTTTCATTTAGCCTCTTGGGAGTCAGCATTCAGTCCTGACCGGGCAATGATGGAGGCGATCAACATTTTTAAAGTAAATCTTTAAAAATTGAAGATGTGTTTTTCTGGTTAAGTCAAGCATTAATTTTATTAATCTGGTTAGGTAAGATCAGGCATTAATTTTATTAAGCTAGTTGCCACAAAGAAATACATTCCATTCGAGGGAAGATATGTTTGCAAGTAAAAAGGCACCACACACATTGTTGCAGAGTGTATATAATACGCGTCTTTCTTTAATGGAGCCCTGCTTAATTTATAATGAATATGTAATACTTGTGATAAACATAATCTTTGGTGGTATGTGCTTAAATATCATCCGTGCATTAGTGAATGGAGCTCATTTTAATTCCCACTTTACTCTCTTTGTTTTCCTGTTAAGGTTATTAAAAACTATATTATTGAATTTTTTTTCATGCCAGATGGTAGAAAATGTGGAAGGTACCAAAAGGTGACAATGAAAAGAAAATCTCTTCATTACCTTGTCCCCAGGTTCCCTAACCCTAGATCAGCAACTGTGAAGTTTTTTTTATCCTTCCAGAAGTGTTCTCAGCATGGACAAGCTTGTGTGGGTATTTTACACACACACACACACACACACACACACACACACACACACACACAACCGATAGCTTTGGGATGGCTGCACTTTGGTACGTTGGGGTTTTAAACATTTTGTTGGCAACTTAGCCTTCATTACGTGGATGTATCCAAATGTACGTAACCAGCCTTGGGTTGTTACAAGCACAGCAACAGCGCTCTCTCTTTTTTTTTTTAACAACTTTGTTTGTTTATTTATTTATTTGTTTCTTTGTTTGTTTGCTGTGTTGGGTCTTCCTTGCTGTGCGTGGGCTTTCTCTAGTTGCGGCAAGCAGGGGCTACTCTTCGTTGCGGTGCGCAGGCTTCTCATTGCGGTGGCTTCTCTTGTTGCGGAGCACGGGTTCTAAGTGCATGGGCTTCAGTAGTTGTAGCTCGCGGCTCTAGAGCACAGGCTCAGTAGTTGTGGCACACGGGCTCAGTAGTTGTGGCTCGCAGGCTCTAGAGCACAGGCTCAGTAGTTGTGGCACGTGGGCTCAGTAGTTGTGGCTCATGGGCTCTAGAGTGCAGGCTCGGTAGTTGTGGCGCACAGGCTTAGTTGCTCCACAGCATGTGGGATCTTCCCGGACCAGGGCTTGAACCCGCGTCCCCTGCATTGGCAGGCGGATTCTTAACCACTGTGCCACCAGGGAAGTCCTCCCCCTTGACTTTCTGACACATCCCAAGGTGTTCTGACTGGATCTTCAGTGTCTAATTTGTTTCTGAGGATCAAAACTCTAGCTCGAAAGTCTTCTTCTAAACCATAAAGTGTCATATTTGTAAACACTTGGATTTCCCAACCCTCACTTACCATAACTTTATTGGGGGGATTTCAGGCAGGTGAGTATTTTAGTGAAAACCCAAAAGGCCCAAAGTTCACTGGCTACAGGGTCATTTCCAGGAAAGCCAGGAGCTTCCTTCGTCCTCACACTTGCCCACATTCGGGATCGGAAGGGTCTTAACGCCCCTGGGCAGGGTGGGGCGTACAGGGCTGGGGCAGGACTTCGGAGTTGTTGGAGAGTGTGTTACGGTTTAGGAGGCAGGACACGGATTGGAATCGGAACAGCCGTGTGAACCAGGCACATTTCAGCTTCTCTGGGTGGAAGTGATGCTAGGGGTGGGCTGGACCGTCTTCGGTGTCCTTCCCGATTGAAAACTGGCACCTTGACCTTGCACTTCGGTAAGTCGCAGCATCTCACTTCCTTTCACCCTCCTGTTTTACAGATGCCTTTGTGAACAGCCAGGAATGGACATTAAGTCGATCTGTCCCGGAGCTCAAAGTGGTGAGTGTTTGCTCTGGCCTTGGGCGTGGTCATTCCTCACCTGCAGGAGTGGGGCTTGGAGGGGGGCTCAGGAAGAGGCGAGGTGTGACCTGTGAGTGCCCCAAGCCCGCATCCCCATGGGCGTGAGGGGTCTCATTCCCTGGGGCCCAGAGGTGGGCCGTGTTCTGCTGTGTCCTGGGGAGGGGCTAGGTGAGGCTGAGGTAAGGGCTGGAGTCCCGAGGGCGCCCGTGACGGTCATGACAGACGGCCAGGCAGGTGGCCTTGTGTGCAGGGCTGGGTCCACCCACCACTGTCTCTCATATCTGAGTGTGTGAGAGAGAGACTCTGTCTCACACACACGCGTGCGCACACACGCACACAGCTTATTAGTCCTTTGCAGAATGTCTTGGAAAGTCTCTGTAGCGAGTCATCAAGATGTAATTATAATTCATCACTGAGAAAATGTGACTGTGTTCTCTGTTACCAAGGAGTAGCGTAAAATTTAAAGTTTTGTTTTTATTATGAACTTTAAGTACACTCTTGCGGTGACACTATTTAAATTGACTTAAATAAAAAATGATTTGGATCCGTTACAGCCACACCTCTGAGCCTCCCCCCACTTCACCCGCCCCCCCCGCACTTGGGGATGGAAGAAAGGGCAGCTAGAGAACTGTTAAATAATCACATTGTTATGAAATACGCAGCGTCTGGAGGATATGTGTGTGTGTGTGTGTGTGTGTGTGTGTGTGTATCTTAACTTCTCACGTGACAGACTGACCGTGGTGACAGCAGGTCAGCTCATCCTGTCCAGGCCCTGGGCCTGCTCTGCTTGGCCCACCTGGCCCCTCAGCCTCTGCATGTTGTCCCCCCACGTGCCTCTTATCTGAGGCCCCAGGGTTTGTTAGCAGTTCCAGCCTGTCTGCCCGGTGACCCCAGAGGCCCCCGGATGCCCTTCCCGGGGCCCCAGCCACCTGTGGTGCTTCATGGGTGGACCCGGCGCGGGGGGACAGGCCCCTTCTGGCCTCTCCCTCCGAGACACGGAGATGGAGCAAGAGCAAGAGTGTCTGTGACTTCCAGTGTCGCCGGGAAGAAGAGGTTTTGAAACTCAAGGCCTGAAGGGAGGGCTCGAGGGCAGGCCCCCTGACATCCCCCCTGGCCCGAGGGCGTCTGGTGCGTGTCCCCGCTGCCACTGCCAGGTGTCCAGGCCAGGCCCCCTGCCCTCTCGTCCCCGCTCCTTCCTCCCACCAGGTCTGACCTTTCTCGGTGGCTCCTTCCTTGGGGGGAGGCAAAGGGGCCCACGGCTCCGGGGCCGTTCCAGAAGCGCGGGTTCCGCAAGCCCAGCCCTGGGACAGTGCCGCTCTGTCCCCTGTGCTCTGTGACGCTGTCCCCTGTGCTCTGTGACGCCGTCCCCGGAACAGAGTGAATCCCGCGGGACACGCGGTCAGGAAGCGATGTCAGCGATCGCGGCCGTGTGGCCAGGGATGCTGCTTGGAGGTTTCCAGGGAGGTTTCCCAGTTTCAGAGGCGGCCTCTTGAGCCAGCCAAAGGTTGGGGTCCTGCCGTCGGAGTAAAGCAAGGGGAACAGTGTTCTGGTGATGACACTTACTCTGTGCGGGATGTGGGTTACCTCCTGTATGGAGCCGCCACCTTTAGTCCTGAGCCGGTCGTGCTGTTGTCCCCGCTCCCCGGGCATCGGAGGCGGAGCCTCACATGTTAAGAGTGTGCCCAGGGAAGCCCTGGTTAGTGAGACGCGGAGCCGGTATCTGAACCTGGAGTTTGTGCTTCCGCATCAGCTCTGCCGGTAGAACTTTCTGCAACGTGGAAATGTTCTCTGTCTTCAAGGTGGCACCCATGGGCCCCGTGCGGCTGTAGAGCATCCGAAGTGTGGCCAGTGCAAGGGAGGAGCTGAAGTTTAAAGTTGAAGGGTGTCAAGGCCCATGGTTTAGACCCAGTTTGGGGAGTTAAAGGTGGTGAGGGTTCTACCAGAGCCTGCACAGCAGCCCGTGACTGAGGACGCCTCCTACCAAAACCTGTTCTCTGCTGGTATTTCAAAAGCATGAGTTTTCTGGAATCCATGCTCGGAGGTGTAGGGGTGCTTGTGTTAACCGGTGGTGTGGATTTATGATCCTAAAACAGAACTCTCATCAAGTTGGCTTGAATTCACAGAAGGGGTGGACCCCATCTCACAGAGAAGTAAATGGGGGGGATTCTGCAGTTCTTCTGGGGGAGGCGCCCTGCCCCCAACCCGTGTGGGGACGGCCCAGACGCCAGCAGGACGGCCAGCTTCGCTCTGGGCCGGGCATCCTCCTGCTGGGGGGTGCAGCGGGCAGCTTGGCCTCCTCAGCAGATCCCTTCTGTGCTAAGGCGTTCCCAGCGTCTACAGAAATGCTCCTTTGTTCGGGGCAGCCTCTGTGTATCCACAGGGCTGCGATTGTGTCCTGCCTGGGTACAGTACCCGGGACAGGTGGTCCCTTCGGTCAGCACCCTCGGAACCCCTGACTCTTTCAGAAATGCAATTCAGTGACATAATAGCAAGCCTCAAATGGACTCTTTATGTAATGTTGGGCCATAAACCATCTGGAATCTGTCAGAGAGAAAATGTCAATGTTTGCTTTCCTTTTTTTGGGGGGGGGGGCCCACCACATGGCTTGTGGGATCTTAGTTCCCTGACCAGGGATTGAACCCGGCCCCTCGGCAGTGAAAGCAAGGAGTCCTAACCACTGGACCTCCAGGGAATTCCCCAATGTTTGCGTTCTTTTCAAGAGTGGCAGTGCCGTGCTATATGCTTCCTGAGGTTGTGTGACGGGGGCCAGTTACTTTGGGTCCACACTCGGGTCCCTGCAGACGTGTGCCAGGCAGCACGTGCTGGCCACTTACCTCTGGGCGGAAAGGAAACCACTCCATAGATCCCTGGCCTGTAGAGGTGGGCGTCTGTCAGCAACCTGCCATATCCTATTTGCGCGTTTTCATTGAATTCTCAACTGGGATTTTTACCAAAAGCCTCGATTTTATTTTCAGCAAACCACGTGTATAAGCTGGCAAGTGGTGAAGTGTGGGACAGTAGAGAACTCAGTTTAGAAAGAAACCTCGTGTGATGTGACTGTTCACAGCCCTGCCCAGAGGGTGCCGGGCCCGTGTGATGACGTGTCGCCACCAAAATACACAGTTCTGTAATTTTCAGGACACCTTTTCCCATGTTACCTTGCTTCTCCCCGGGCCTGTAGACCCAGACTGGCCTGATTCCGTTCTCTCTAGTTTGTATCCAGTAGCAGTTCATGGATCCCAGTGCAGCTTTACAGCTTAAAGAGCATTTTCATCCCTTACTTTATTTCCTCCTCACAGCTGGCTGTTAGTTTCTGCCAGTGTTTCAAATTTAAATAATGGCCACGGTGTGCAAACATAAGAAGGTGTATGAGATGGCCATTCCATCCAAATAAAACACCTTCCCCCCTCACCCCCGGGATTGAATGATTTGATCCCTGTAAGGGGTGAGTAAAAAATTCTTAGCAAATCATTGACATGTAAGAAGGAGGGAATATTGCCACACACAGAAAGCACAGACTGAACAGTGATTTTGAACATTTTCCTCCTCGGGAAAGAAAAAGCCTAATCTTAATTAAAAATTCAATTCTGCGGCATACTGTTTCGGATTTTCTCAGCGTGAAGCTGACAAACAGCAGGTACCCTTGAGCAAAAGAATAATTAATAGGTAGAAATTCTCAGATTACAGAGGCCCAAAGCAAAGGGAAAACATCAGTCAAATCAGGAAGGGAAACAACTTTATTTAGGATCCATCCACATAGTCTGGGGCTTGGAGCTGTAGTAATAAAGCATCTCGTTTCTACTCACTGGCGTTAGTGTCATTCATTCATTCATTCATTCACCCAGTGTTGCTAGGAGTCCGCCGTGGGCAATGCTGGGGGGTAGAGAACCAGACACAAACGAGACCCAGTCCCTTGTCGGCACTGGAGAGAGTCAGACCCACATACCGATGTTGGGGAAACAAAGAGGTAAGTGGCAAGGTAGCGTTAGGAGGAGGGCACTAAGGGAGCTTTGGGGAGAGGCACTGGTTGAGGCTGTGGCATTAGGAAGGCTTCTCAGAGGAGGTGACATCTGAACTGATTGCTGACCCACGAGTAGGAGTATTATTTTGGGCAGCGATTGATGTGGAACGATCTAGGCGTCTGGAGTCTGCAAGGCCTGTTAGGATGGTGTTTGGTCACTGGCATATCGAGGACGAAGCAGGGAGTGGGAAGCTGAGGACGAAAGGACCATGATGGTGGGAGGGACAGGATGGTTCAGGGTTTTAGATCAGGTTTTAACTTACTTTCCACAATCTCGTGGTAAATTCGTTCGCTTTTATGTTTGTTCTTCTCATTAGTGGCACCGTCACCCGTTTATCCAGCCAACCAAGCACATCCCCCACCCCCCATTCCATCCATCCATCCAACCATCCCATGTTTACCGGCACTTTACTGGGGCCGGAGACAGTGCTGAGTGTAGGCCTTCAGAGAGGTGTCCTTGCCAGCATCAGAGACATAGTTCTTGGTCTTCGGGGACCTGAGCGTACTGGGGGGTGGCGTCAAGAGCGTCAGCAGTCAGTGTAAAGTGTTCTGGGTGTGTAGAGAAGCAGGGAAGCCACCCAAAACTCTCTTCGGGTGAAGGGAGGGGTGCCCAGGTGAGTGATATGTTCATGTGGTCCCTGCCGGACCTGGGTGCCTACAGCAGAATTGATCATGAGGATTTCGAGGGAGACGCTTTGTTGTCTGTTCATGAAATACTTGGACTCTGGCCTGCAGGCAGTGGGAGGCTTCCCGAGAGTTGTGAAATGAGGGAGTCGCATCTTTGCCATGTCAGTTTTAAAGAATCTCTGGTATTCTCTGGGCGAAGAGGGGGAGCTCCCAGGCAGGGAGATAAGGTAGAGGCTCTCCTAGGATCCAGTGGACGGACGCACAGCCTGCCCCGTGGTGGGGTGTGTGTGTGTGTGTGTGTGTGTGTGTGTGTGTGTGTAGACCCTCAAAAGCACATCTGGGCGGGGTGGGAATTGGAGACGGCGTCCAGGTGTCTGGCTTGGGAGTCTGGGTGGTGATGTGATCACAGGATGATGAGCCGATTGGGGAGAGAACAGTAGGGTCTGGACATGCTGAGGTTTCAGTACCAGTGTAGGTGTGTATGGGTTTACCTGGAGAGGGGGTGGGGCTGGAGAATGAGAGTGGGTCTCCATAGGTTACTGGGAGTAGGTGGGATGTAGCCTGGCTCCCTTGGTTGGAGGGGGGGGCGCTACTTAGAATCCAGGATCTAGGGAATCTGGGAGGGGTCTAGGGAAGGAGCCGGCGTGGGCTGGGGATAATTTGAAGGGGAAGCCCAGAGCGGGAAGTTGGAAGAGAGAGAATCTCCTTTACAGCTTCCGGCGATGCAGCAAGGGGAGGGCCAGGGGGTTTAGAAACAGAAGTCCTCGGTGACCTCGAGCAGTGTCCTTGTAGCCATAGGGTCAAAACAGCAGGCTGGGGGTGGGTAGGGTCAGAGAGTGGGCGAGAGAGAGGCAGGCTCTTCGTAGGCGGGGGACCTGTGTCCAGGGCAGGTCTCTCGTCCTGCTTTTCCTCAAGAGACAATTGACTGGATCATGCTTAAATGCAGAGGGGAACGTTCTAGCCGGGGAGGAAGAGATTAAAATGCAGGAGCGTCTTTGCGCAGAAGGTAGAGGGGGCGTGAGATCCCGAGCAGAGGGAGGGCCTCCTGACAGCCGCCTGAGTCCAGGTGTGTCAGCTGTGTTAACACGGGAGCTTTCTCTCAAGAAGGCAAGGTGAAGCCAGCCTTGCCTGCCGGTGACTGTGAGTTCCTGCTTGCTGGTACGGTGGCCCTCATGTCGTGCTGACCTGGTTTCCATCCAGCACGAACACCTTTGTCGCCTTGACCGTGGGTCCCTGCTCTGTCCTGCGGGGTGGACCCCGTGTCCAGAGATGCAGGCCGGCTCTCCTCTCCCCGCCTTGGTCCAGTTTTCTCCCCTCCGGTCCCTCCCCGGCACTGTGCTTTTCTGGTGTGGCTCTTTTTCAGCTAGTCTCACCCGGCTGCAAATCCTGCCCCAGAGTTGTGATGGAATGCACCGGAACGTCCTCCTAATCCCCTTGTGGCCCAGTACTGCCACTGCGCCCCATTTAACCTCGTACCTTGTCGAGTGTTTCGAGGGTCCACAATACGTGTTGGTGGGCTGACTCACTGTACACCTTCCCGATGTAACCAGCACTCATGGGATTCAGTGTGTGTTCTAACCATGTTGATTCTTCAGGCTGTAGAGGCTGATAAAGCGTGAGAGGTTAATTGAAGGTGTTGGAATCCCGTCTTCTCCAGCAGAAGGATCTAACTAGCCCATTTTCGGCCATCCCGCTGATGCTTGGTGGTGGTGGTGTTCAGGATTGCTGTCCTAAACTTTAACCTCTCTATTTGCAGGTTTCTGAATAGCATGATACACTGACTACTCCTTAGTGACTGCCCATTTCTGTGTTTCAGGGCATTGTGGGTAATTTAGCCAGTGGCAAGTCGGCCCTGGTGCATCGCTATCTGACCGGCACGTACGTCCAGGAGGAGTCTCCCGAAGGTATGCTGCGTGTCACACAGTCTCCACCTCTAGAGAGTTTAGTTTTCTAAATTTTTTGTTAGCATATTCTAAATCGTTACTGTGATGTATCCCATGTCAAGAAAAGTAATAATGACATAACCAAGCAGTAAAAATCCGTAGGCATGTTGCTGCTTCTGTAGTATTTTTCGCTAACCATCTCGGCATTTGGAGCAGATAGTCAAGCCATGAATGCTGTTGAATGTATTTCGTACCGAATAGTTCTGTCCCTTCAGATGTGAATCCAGTGTCACTCACTCCTTTAACTGTTACTGCTTGGACGTTTCTCTGATCTGGATCTTGAGTTTATACCTAATTTGTGTGTACCGTTCCTTAGTCATAGATCCGAGCCTTTCAGATGACCCACCACCATGTGTTTGAGTATGTTTCCCCCCTTATATTGTATTGTAAACATTTAATAATCACTTTGCATGAGAAGATGCTATTTCTTTTGCCATGAGGCTTTTACTTCTTTAGTTAACATATCCATATTTTGGTTTTTTTGCTTGAAATAAAACGATGGTAGTAATGCTAGGCAACCACTTAGCTCCCGTGTCCCCAAATCCAGGTAGAGTGTCCACACACAGTTTTCTAAATTATATTTTCTCTCCATGTAACCTTTTAAAATCCAACTCTGAGACACTGAATTTCTGGTTCCTTCTTTTTCTTACTGGCTGTTCCATTCTTTGCAGATATGGACGCAGGTAACTATACATTTTCTTCATGGCAGCGCTTGTCTTGTTTGAAGAGCAAGGAGAGACACAACTCTGTGCTGTAGTCTTCCCTTCCCTCCTTGTTCTGTGTATATCATCCTATTTTGTTTCATTTTATCCTTTCCTTTTTTTTTTAAGTTAAACATTTCACCCTGCTTTGTCCCTTAGATGTCTTTTTAGCAGTAGTCCTGAGTAGCTTCACATGTTCCCTGTAACACCTGTTCTAGTATTTAACTCTTGTCCTGGATACTGTGTAACCGTTCAGAAAAGCGTGGCAGATGGAATTCTGTGGCAGTCGTTGCTCGGGGCTCTGCCATGACTTTGCAGCATTTTGCGATCCCACCATAAAAGTCTCGTGGTGGTCACATGAGGGAAAGGCCTATGTTTTTCGTTATCTGTATTGAAATGATGGTTTAAGGGAGATTAGAAGTGAAGGCTCAAATGTGGGAATCAATGAGGAAAAGCATAGCTAGACACTGAAAAATGGATACAGACGCTAGAAAATCGGCGTGCTTTAGAGAGGTGAGAAAGTTGGCCGTCTTCTTTCCTGGAATCCGTACCTGGGTTGTACTTGTGCATTTGTGCCTTTGTGTCTGACTGTGGGTTTTAGCCATAGTCATTTTGATTATACCCGAGAGTTTTTTAGAGCCTTTTTCTTGGGGGTTCTACTTATTCCTCGGGTCTAGCAATTGTGTAGATTGATGACACCAGCTGCTGATGGACTAATTAGCTGGACTGCAAGTGAGAGGATCACCTCCTCAAGTAAATCTGCCTGTGTGCCCCTGGAATGCTCAGGATTTCAGTTGAGGGGACCCCTTGTTCGGGGGTCCCTGGAGGTTTCGTGGTCTGGGCCCTGGTTTTACTGCCACGAGCTGGATTCTCCTGCGCTCCGTTCGACGTCTGGCGTGGTTGGTGCGGGTCCCCGGTTCTCCCGCCTGTGGCCACCTTCCCCTTCCCCGCGTGGTGCTGTTTTGTCCTTATTGTGGCTTTTGCCATTTCCCTTTGGGCGTTCAGTTTGTGCCATCGCACTTGGCCCTGACTGTGATTCCTTTGTAGCGAGCCCTTATATTTCGACGAACACAAAAGCCTTTCTTTTGAACGTTCGCACATCAAAAGTCAAAAGTAAAAACTGTACCCAGTGGGGAGACCTGAATGTGATCTGTAACAGCCCTGCTTCTTCGACTTTCCAGGTAACACATTTTACTCCGGGAATTTCATGGTATCCTACGATTTTCAGAATACATTATTTTACAGGCTGGATGCATTCTCGAGTTCGATAACGGGACGTCCCTTCTTTCATCTGCAAAGTGGAAACATCTCACCCCTCAGTGGGGTCTGTGCCCAAGGGCTCCTGGGTCAGGGGAAAGATTGTCCGAGATCTTTGCTCGCGCCCTTCAGGAGCTGGCCCTGCCACCTGGCCACCTGTCCTCTCACCGTTTGAGAGGTCAGGGGATTGTTCCTTGACGTTGCCAGGGGCGTAGAGAGGTCCCCCCAGGGGACGTGCGTCAGGTCCTCCGGGACCTGGAAGAATTGTGAGCAGGCGCCGCCTGGTGCCTGGAAGCCTTTGGTCCCCACGACTCCCTGTTTCCCAGAGGCCAGCCACCCTGGAACCAGGCAGGTGGGCATGTCTTTGCTTCCCATGTTCTGTCCACGTACTGGGGCGAGTCCCACGTGGCAGCAGGAGGGAACCATAATTTGTCGTGTCCAAAAGGAAATGAATGAGAAAAGCCTTGCTTTCTCATCGTCTTGGCACACAGAAGTCCCTGCCCCCAATCACAGAGCCTGTGGCTGCAAAGTGATTTCAGTCCTTGCTGGATGCATTAACATCCATCGATTACCCTTGCTCGCTTCATTGAGAAGCTTTCCACAGAGAATGTTCTGGAGCTGCAGTGTTCTGTGTCATCACCCAGGTTTATGGAGAACATCAGAGCAAAGGGAATCCTCTCTGGGGTGTGCGGGAGGTTGATGAAGCCGATTACAGCTCAGCATCACCTGCAGCTGCTTTCGTAGCAAAGGATCAGGTTAGGACACAGCTGAAGGTGTGTGTCACGGTCGCCAGGCCGAGAGGTTTGGCCTCTGGGTGAGCGGTGAGGCCTCTCCTCTCCGTTTTCCTGCTGTTATTATTACCTGCAGCTTCATCCCCGTTTCCTCTTAAAATGGCTGGAGTAATCCACTGCCTGCCCCATGCAGCGCAGCGGCTTTACACGGGAGGCGCGCTCCTGGGGGCTCTGCCTGCCCCATGCAGCGCAGCGGCTTTACGTGGGAGGCGCGCTCCTGGTGGCTCTGCCTGCCCCATCCAGCGCAGCGGCTTTACGTGGGAGGCGCGCTCCTGGGGGCTCTGCCTGCCCCATCCAGCGCAGCGGCTTTACGTGGGAGGCGTGCTCCTGGGGGCTCTGTCTGTGCGCACAGCTCATAGGAGCTTCCCTGCCCTTCTCCTGTCTGCACAGGCTCTTCTTTTGCTTTAATTAATGTGTAAATACCCTTTGGTGTTACTCTGACCTGTGGTGGGCATCGTTAGATCGCTGGGAGGGTGAAGGTGGTCAGGGCCTTCTGTTTTCAGACCCCCGACCCTCGCCAGAGTGCAGGTTTCATCACCTCTTAGAGGATGACACCTGTTGTGCTTTAATTGTGTCATACATTTGGGTTGGTACTTTATCCTTGTGGCAAAGGCAGCTGACTCATACAATTTAGATTATTTTAAAGATACAACTGAAATGAGGGAATGGATTTAAATACTATGTGTGTTTTTTTCATTAGTGGATTAACAATGCAAAAGTGGGTAACCCAGTAGGGAGCCTGTAAGTCCACGAAAATAATCCAAAGAGTAAAGGGTACTTGTGCAGGCAAATGCCCTTTTCATCGTGCGTGTGCGTGAGATACATGTGTGTATCCGAGTCCTAGGGCTGCATGACATATTACCACACACTGGGTGGCTTGAAACAATGGAGATGTATTCTCACGGCTCCGGAGGCCAGGAGTCTGAGATCAGGTTGCTGACAGGTTGGCTCCTTCTGGAGGGAATGCGGCAGAATCCACGTTCCTGGTGACTGGCAGCCCTTGGCGTTCCTGGGCTTGTAGACGCATCATTCCCGTCTCTGCCGTGTCGTCACGGGGCCTTCTCCCTGTGTCTGTGTCCAGGTTTCCCTCATCTCATGAAGACACTCGTCTCTGAATTTAGGCCCACAGGTACTGGGGGCTCAAACTGCAACACATTTTTAGGGGACAGAATTTAACCCGTAATAGTATGTGTGTATCACACACCTGGTGTTGAAACAGAAGCTGTACTCAGACCTGTTGACGTTGCCCCGTTACTTCTTGGTGGCAAGAAGGGCGATTAGCTGCCCCAGACCTCACTGGCCATGCGCACGGCTGGTCTCCTAGAAGGTCACAAAGATTAGGTTAGTGTACATGTGACCTTCACACCTCTGATGGAATTTCACAGCTGTCACTCACTTCTGATGGAAAGAATCAGGTGGAAATTATTCCTCTGCCATTCAGTGCCCTATTAGTGGCTGCTAATTAGGACAGTGAATGAGGATCTGGGCATGTAATTCGAGTTTCCATCTCATGTGTTTATGCGCTTGATGTCCGCTGTGCACCCTGCCTTCCCCGCCACAGACTCCACGGGCCTGCTGCAGTTTTTCGCTCTCTTCCTTCAAAATAAGAAAGAAAAGGAAAGAAAACCAAGGCTGCTCAGTATTATGTAGGAATTTGATGGAAACGTGGGCCACCTGGGACACTTTCCCTTGCAGACTGGGACACGGTGGTGTCCCCGGGAGCTCTGAGCTGCAGAGCTGATCCCTTGCTGAGACCTTGTCCCGCCGCATCTCCCTCTGTGTGCCCCTCCCCTTGTGCCTCCCACTGTGGGCCACGCAGGGGACCTGGGGCCCAGAAAGGCTGCTGCCCAGCAGCGGCTCTCATGGCGGTGGACGAGGGGAAGGGGCCTCTAGCTCTAAGACGCACTAAAGCGCCCAGCAGACTGAGTAGCTGGTGTTAAGGTTGGTGGAAACAACTTTAAGGATGTCCAGAGACCGACCTTCCTGTGATGATAACGTTAACTGCTCTTGGCTAATTTTTCAAGGACTTAGGGCCACCAAATGGGTGGAAAGTGCCAGGATGATGTCGCGCTGTCTGAGAGCTCCCCTTCGTTGGAATCTGGAGTAAGCCCTTATCCAGGTGTGACACAGGTGGGTTCGCCACCTGCTGCGGAGCAGGGCCTCGGCCTGGTGTGACTTGGGGGCGGCTGACCCTGTCGTTCCCAGGTCCTCA